ACCACCTGGGCGATGCTAGGGCGGGAAAGTGCCTGGGGACTTGCCCTGCAGAACCGCCCTTAGCGGAAGGACTGGCCTCGTTGATCGAAAGACTGTCATATGCAATACGGACTGGACTCCTTTGAACCAAAGGCATATGGACCCTACCCAATTTCCAGCCGTTTAACTAATGGAAGCATTGAGCTCCGGTCCTCCTTCACAGCATTTTCAGATCGCGAATTTCAATTTCTACGGTTTATTTTTGTTAGAATAAAGGATATAAATCCGGTATTTGAACTGTGAACGTCGCGAGCGCCTAAAAAAATGTGTTTTTCGCATATTGGCGGTGACAGTGCGGGCAGTCACGATAGAGAGAGCACTGACTCCTCAAAGCCACGAGAGGAATACTTATCAGACAAATATACGAGCAAGCTAAGCAGCAGACGCTAAAGGTGCACCTACATTGGCGGGAAACGATAACGATTTCCACCTTCCCATAATGTCTCGCAGTTAGTGGAATGGAATTCCTCGCTGTTGCAGGAAGAAGATATACTTACTCTGTCAAAATCCCACGTGTGTTAATTTATTATATAAGTAACTAATTCAACCCGGACAGCTAATCAGCACCCATAATAAGACAAGCGGTTTGACACAAAGACAGACGATTTTCAAGCCGCGCCTTCGATATCTCCATTAAGTACACTTGTGTGTATCTCAGCTGAGGTTGGGCCCCCGAAAATTTAATCGTAGAACACAACGGTGACCAACGCATGTAAGAGCCCAATGATGATGGCTGGGGCGTGGAAATGGGCTAGTATCGGAGGTGCGTACTTGGTGCAACTGACTTGCATGTGAATTGTGATGTGGAAGCCTTCCCAGTATTATCACAATTCAGTGGCTATAGTGTGTTAGGACTACCGGTGATGAGAGTGGATAATGAAAAGAGGAGTCACTTTCCGCCCGTGTCATGACAAGACTACTGCGTCACTACTAACTGAAGCAGAATACACAAAAGTCCACGGAGAAGAGAAACATGTAGTGTCTCTGCAGCCCGAATCCCTTTTAACTCGTTACGCCACAGACGAGGTCCCTCCGCACATAGGACCTCGCGCGAAGGCTGTTCTTGGCATGCCTCTAGGGCCATGCGCAAACTGACATTGTCGAACGTACGTACCGTGTCTCCTCGTCCTCGCCTCAATCCACAGTGGTTTGACCTCAATCCGTCCAATGAGATGTCCGCGTTAGTAGACTAGCCTCAATTAGTAGATTGGCCTCAACGCGTTTGGACAAGGACCTCATTGTGGTGCCTGCCGCCATGCATCACTTCGACCCAAACCAGACCAGGCAACGGACTGCACTCGTCCAAGTCACATCTCCTCCCACCTATTCTTCCAATCCTTCTGTACAGAATAAACTCTTCCTACCGCTCGGGCCTTTCCATGACATCTATCTTCTTCTACGGAACCGAGCCTGGGAGATCGCAGCCATTAAGGTTAACTTTCTTAAACACACCGGCTATTCCAATATGGTCAAACTCGCAAGGTAAAGCCAGTAACACGGTATGGCCATTGTCCTGATCACAATTTCGTGAAGCCACCGACGGTATTTCTGCCAGGTGGGGACAGTGCGGAAGGTTTAACTTGCGCATATATTCCCACGAAGCGGCCAGAAATCTAGCACGGTTACCGTTCCTATCTAGAGATCCCATACAGGTCTGCTGATGAATTCGTTCACCAAAACTCACATGTCGGCCGTGGCTGAAAATATAGGGCTTGCGTCGCCCCTGGTCCAGGACTTCGGCTTGAGTTTTGGTTGAACACTGGTCTGCAGTCGTTGCATGACAGTTGCCGATGGTGGTACCTGCGAAAGGAAAAGCAATACCATAAAGCGAACTTAATTACTCTTTTTCATAAAAAGTAACGTTGGATGTGCTCGGTGGATGTCACAGACTGTGGTTATGGGACTGATTCAATTGCTGGGGGATAGTTGGTTCAAGTCTACGCCAAGACCAGAAGAAAACCTGGGTTTATAAACCATGGAGGTGGTTTGCAGTGCAAGTAAGGACAAAGCTGCAGAAAACTTGGCTCCATAGACAAAAAGTAGAATAGATTCTGAACTTTTCAAAGATGGACGTTCTTGGGGACATAATTTAACTTTATTCAGTAAATTTTCGACGTTGGATCCCCAGGTCGTCGTCCGACATGGGATAATATGCAACGAACACTTGAAATTTCAAACGTGCTGGTACAATTATATAGTCATCTGGTGTAAGCGCTAATTGGCAACTGTAATCTGCGTCAGTCCATGGTGGACAAAATTAGTAGTCGTAATAGCGTAATTACTAATTGTCAACTGCAATTTGTGTCAGTACGGGATGGAAAATTAATAGTCATCCGGTGTGGGCGCTAACTAGCAGTTGCGCTCCACGTTAGTCCGTAGTGATTGACTGTCGTGTCTTCAATCTTTCTTTGAGGTGTTTCTACACACCGTTTAACTCGATGTATCGGTTGATGCAGGAATCGTCGGAGTGCGTGGTTTCAAGGAATTCTCGGCCTTTTTGGAGGGGCAACCTCCGACGATGTTTGTTTTGCTCCATGCAAAGTTATGTCCTGTATCAAGGCAATTCACAGCCACTTCGGACAGATGGTCACATCTCTTCACTGGCAGTTGGTGCTCGTGGATCCGCGTGGAGACGGTCTTCCTGTTTGGCTACAATATACGGTATCACAAGCTTTGCATGGGATCTTGTAGATGACTTCTTTCTTATCGAGATAACGAACCTTATCCTTCAGGTGTACAAGCTGGGTGCGTAAAGTAGCCGTCGCTTTTATGCGCCACTTTTATTTAGTATTTCCGCAACTGCCTTTCAACGAGTTCAGACACATTCCTTATATAAGGAAGGCTTTTCCATGTATTTGTTTTGGGCGCTTGAGTGGAACGATTTTGTTCTTTTTTGTTGGATTGTTGTTGTTTCACGCATCGCTGTACAAAGTCTCTGGAGTAACCACTGCCGGAAAATAAATCAAACAGATAATTTTACTCGACCCGGTAGGTTTCTTTGTCAGGGCAGCGCGTCTTCGCTCGGCGTAGCAGACTGTTGATTGAATAAAGTTACCACATGTCCCAAAGAACGTATTTCCTTGGAATTAAATTTTTGGGATGCCTGCCTTCCAGATTCTGACCCAGCCGCTGAGTGTTACCGTCACTAAGTAATTCCTCGAAAGATACGACTGGAGATCCAAGGCACAATGGAAGGCTCCCAGAATCAAAACATGATATCTGAACCAGGGTTGAGAGATTTAAAGGAAAACAAAGCACAGGGTTATAATCGAGGAAAGACCAGTTGGTGAGAATAAGGACGTGAATTCCAATTGACAGCCGAGTGCATTGTCTAGCCTGGTAATATAATAGGGCACAGCCACTCCACTGGAAAATTATTACTTTCATGAATTGGCCTCGGTAGATGGTTGAACAGCGCAAACGTTCAGTACTGATGATCATAAGCGAAGTACTCTCTGATAAGGAGCTAGCAGCTGACCTGAAAGTGAGCTGTGCCCTGGGTACAGTATCTTACCATGCACCTGGACAGGGAAAGTATTGAAAGACTGAGAGTTTGCTGAACCTTCGACAACACGCCAGACATGAGGTCACGTGAATGCAAGTTTCGACCTAACTTATGGATACCCGCATGCACCGCTGCTGCTAAGATGTGCCCATGCCTCCGCCTGCCTACGTGAACTGACCAATTACATTCAAGGTCAATCCACAAAACGACCGCTCTAGGTGGCTGCTGGGATGACTGCAACCAGGCCCGCATTTCGGACCAAACCGCCTAGCGGGTGGACTTGCGTTCTGACACAAAACTTCTTCTTGTCCATTCTCAATTTTTTCTGTACAGGTCAAACTCTACCTACCACTCTAGTCTCCCACTCCTTCTCTTCTCTAAGGAAATGAGCCTGAAGATAGCAGTTGCTAGGGTTTCACTTACTTAACCCTTGCGATAAATTAAACCGATGTATCGCTTTCTAGCTCCATATACAGCGGATTCCATAGGCCGGAAGCAGCCACCAGGTG